GGCTGACACAATCATCCTTGCTCGATTAAAACCAAGTAAACATGTAAAATATTACTGGAACTCATTCTTTCCTCGTCTATATCTAGTTTGTGAACTTGAAACCTAGTAAAATTGCTCAAAACATCAAAATAGTGAAATTAAGTGCCAGTGAAAATATGTTTTACAGTATCCCAGTTTGTTCTACTGCCAGTGGAGTCAACTAGTTGGTGCAGTGGTTAGCATATCAGTTTTGTGTACTAAAGATTGTGGTTTTAAAGTCTACACTAGGTGAACTTTCACTCTTTCATTTGCTATCTATAAAATAATGTCCCGTACATGAATTAAGTACCACCTTCAAATCCTTTCCAATTTGACTAAATATAAATTATGATATTGTTATATTGTCTTATTTATATTTGTTAGAATTTTTATATGGGTAAATATATCCAACTTGAAAAGTGTTGGAATATAAAGTTTTTACATTTAGTATGTCATTCTATCATCTGTAGGATCTTTTCTGATTAATGCTCCAGTATAGTCAAGTAGACAATTAGCATTTCCCGACCTTTCCATAGAAGTTTTCCCATGCTTTGCATGAATGCTTCAGGTACTGTGGTTTCATTTGATGATGATTAGGATATGTTGCTGTTATGGTATTGCATAAATTTATTATTACTGGGTCAGTGAGGTCATCTTTCTATAATTTCAGTGATCTGCATAAATAAAGTTTTTGATATAAATATGGAATTTTGTTTTTTTGCGCAAGTAAATTAATGTTTTTCGGCTCATTGTAGCAGATAACAGAAATGTTTAATGGAATTGTTGCCAAGGAAAGAAATTTGTTATTTTACCAATATTTTCTATTTACTTTGCCCTATCACCAGAGGGCACTCTCACTGATTAATCGCACCATGTTTTGAAAAGACCAGTTCGTGGAGTTGAATGGGTCTAGGTGGTTTCCCATTCAGAAATACTGGAAATACATAACTAAATCGTAAATAATGTCATACACATAAATATTTGACATAATGTAAAAAGAACACAGTATGAAAGGTATGAAATGGTTATGTTGAAAGAAAATGGTTATAGCATATACAGTAAATGAACGTGGTTTTTGTTGACCTGTGTGAAATTTGTCATTTGAGTTTCAAGACCACATTTGATAATTGCTTTAGCGTATATGTAGCATATATGATTTTTTGTAAGGTACCAACCAAGGCAAAACTTGTTGGATATCAAAGGAATTGCATTGATCACAGCCCTACATTTGCAATAGGGCTTTGTTAACAACATATCCCTACATCCAGCCTAAGAGCTGTGGTAGAACTATTTAGTTACCTTGACAAGTATGTGACTATATCTTTGTTGCTCATCTTCTTTGATGAAAAATATGATTGATGAGCTTGCATTGTTGTCTGTTTCTTTGTTATGGATGTTTCTGACATGTATATAATATTGTTTTTTTCCCTATTGTCAACTCTTTCTATAGACTTACTAATCAACACCTAGGCTTGGTTTATGATTGTTGATCTTGACATTAACCTCAATTGAACTAGATTTCTTTTTAAAATCACTGCCAAATTCAGCCATTTGTGTATTGTAGCGTTGATTTCTAACACATTGACAACAATATACCTCGAATAATGTCAATAACGTATGGAGTAAAATTATTCATGTCTGTCAGTAGAAAAGTGAGAGAAAAGTACAGTCCTGTAATGACTTGAAATTGACCTATTGGAGAGTGACAAGGTGATGGCCATGATCTTGTTTCTTTTCAATAAAGGCCATCTTAAATAAAATCATAGTTTGCTGTATGTTTTTTTTTG